GCTTTGCCTCTCAGGTTTTTGTGTTACAGGAGTCCTCTTGCATATGTCATTGACTGCCACAGCTGGAGCATCTGCTGGGAGGTAGAAACGTAGTTCCTTCCCAGGCAGATCAGCTGCTGGATTTGGCAAGCACAGATGAGTAACAAAAGTTTACCAGATGTGTTTTAACTGATAAATGCATTCTTTTGTGGTAACTATAGTAGTGATAACAATGTACAAAGTACAGTTGAAGCTTTGGACAATGCTGTTTCAATAGCGGCCTTCAGAAAAACACACTTCCTGTGTGGGGAAACAGACTGCTGAATAGTCCAGGAACAGCTACAAGGCCTTGTGATATTTTATGAAAATACTTCAGAACTATCTGTAAATTGAGCAAGTAGCACAGAGACTTACTTAATTGAGTTTAAAAAAAACTCATGAACAGTAATCCAATGATGAAAATCTCTACTGACTTCTAGATTGCTGGCATTGGAAACTAAATAGTTCAGCTAAATAGAAATCATTTTATCAATTGCAAATTAATTATTTTAAACCAGAAAGAAAAGTGAGGAAGAGCTCTGAAAATCATGTTTCATAATGTCAATGCAAACCAGACAGGTGGTATTTTAAGCAATATAAATAAAAAATAGCACAAATAGACTGTAGGGAACACTTACCTTAAATCAAAGTGAAGGACCAGAAAACGTGATGTAGTCTGTACAGCTGTTCTCACAGAGAGACAGTGAACAGAAGATGCAACCTGACCTAAAATGAGTGATAGCAGAAAGTGTACAAACAAGCACTTGGAAAGGTGCTCTCCTTTATCTCAGATTGGTACTTAAATACTTTTATATAGTAGAAGAGGAGCAAAGGCCAGAAACTAGAAATGTCATAATTATTTCTAACTCTGGAATCAGTCCTGCATGCTTGCAGTCAGCATGCAGTACTTGGAATGCAAGGCTTAAGATCTATTTAGGCTAAAAGCTATTTAGGAACCTCTGCTGTAGAAAATATGTTTTATTACAAGAGGCCAGACAGGAACACTGAACTTTGAAGGGTCATTTGTGAATAACTTCTAGCTTAAGTGATTAAGGGTTCCAGTCTCCAGCTCCTCCACCCAACCTAAAAAATGTGTTAGAAACATCCTGCTTTGTTATTGCTGCTGGCCTTTTCTTCAGCGAGCAAGAGAGGAGCGTTGGACTTTTTTTTGTGTTGGCTTTGGTTCTGTGCCCCCGGGGATACTTTTAACAATGCATAATGCTTTAAAGAATTCTGAAACATTTTTATAATTTCCTTTGAACTGTGAGGATAAAGATAAATAAAGGAGATTTTGGTATGGGTAGAAAGCAAATAGCACTTCTTATGGCTCACAGTATTTACAGTGTGTTTTTAGAAGCACACTGTAGTACTCATTAACAAGACCCCAATCCATTCTCCATTTTTCTTTTAATGGAAGGCAAAGCATACCACATACTTTCCAAAAAATGTTCTTATAAAGAAAGAAAATTATATCTTTTCTGCCCATTTAGCATGTTTTTCTTTCCTCTTCTAAAAGAAAACTGTGGTGCAAGACTAGACTGACTTAGTCAGGAAATACTTTGGAATTAAATTCAATCTGATTGATTCATTAAGTCATGTCAAAGAAAAAAAAGTGTAAAAAGCACTGGGTATAATTAGCCTAGAGCTCAGCTAGCAGACTTTCAAGGCCAAGCATAAACACACCTGTGTTCTCACAAAGGTTTTTAATTTCTTTGCTATATGATGAACACACATCTCTCAAATTGTGTCTCTAAAACAAAACAAAAACACCCTCTATGTAATCAGAAACAGCAACTTTTAAGTTACGTGTACATCTATATGATATATAGACTGCAACGCTGGAATGAGCAGCAGCACAATTAGTTCTTTTGTTGAGTACAGACAAAAGATCCTTTTTTTTAAAGACATTTATTTCTGTTTTTAAATAGCTTGATAAAACCCACAATTGGTATTCAGAGTTAAAATGTAAACATTTACCGTAAGTTACCACTGTGTATTAATTTTGTACATCAAACTATTTGCAGTGAAATCCATAAGACCAGTCAGATTCAGCATATTTATAAACTGAAATGCACTGTACTAAGATAAAACAATGCCTTAACTGAAAATATTGGAAAGATGTTCAACTCCCTCCTGTGGTGTAAGTGAGCAGCATCACAACCAGCTTCTGGAAGCTTAGACAGCACTCTAATAACCAAATGCCTGTGCTTATGCAGTAGGACAACAGATTTCAAGCTTACTGTGGAAACTCAGAAGTTAAAAAGTGTTAGATTTCTAAAATGCATACAAAGTTGTAAACATTTTTCTCTGGGACACACATAAAAATGGTTTGTGCCAACCTTCTCCACCTCCCACACTAGAAAAAAAAATAGGCCAAAGACTATAGACTGAAATTGTTTTGCACGGGTAGCATCACAGTTTGCAGAAGTATTACAGTGTCAGCATTTACAATTAGTGTTACTCAGCAGCGGGGAGCACAACCCATTGCCAAGATGGAACACTCATCCACTGGTGAATCAGGCACTACGCGTCGCATTTACCTACTGTTAAGAACAAAAACTTACTACACTCAGGTATTTTTGTATTTGATGGGTGAAACTGACTACAACCAGAGACCAAAGAACACTGCTACTTGTAGCAGACTGATTTTTAACCATTTGTGGGCATCACGTTCTAACTATGTGGATCTGCCATGAAGAAGGAAGATGTTTAAAGCAGACTATATTGAGATCACAGAAATTTCCAGAATCATGTCAAGGTAGATATTTTTCACAGAAGTCCCTCACTTTTTTTTTTTTTTAATGTTGTAGTTTTCAGTTTGATTTCACCATTAACAATGAAGTAACTGCTTACTTGATCTGACTCTTGTGTGACCAATTCCAAAGACACCAAGACCACTGAGATTTTGCCATGCAGTACAGAATTAGTTTCACTTTACAAGGGTTAACTTAATGCCGGGCAGTAAAGGAGGATAGCATCATTCTAACACTGCCATATTATTTATTCTCCCAAGAACTGTCAGCAGATAGCTTACCTGTGTCCTTGTATTCAGTATATGAGTTGATCATCAGTATTAATATTTTCATAAACAAGTTGTTTATCTGAAAGTTCAGTCAAGTGCAGCTCATCACTGAAGATTAGAGGCTTTGTAGTCTGAGATATCAAGAGGGGATTAATCACAAGTATTTAAAACAATCCTAAAAAGTTCCTTTTCTTCCTAGTTAGACTGTGCAGCACAGAGAGAAGCATCAGGATGCATTTTGTAATACACATTCTGGAATGCACTCTTAAAACTTTAAAACCTCATGCAAGCTTTTTTCAGAAAGTTGTATCATTGACTTAAAAAAAAAAAAAAGAGCCTTGAAGCTGGAATCATTGCATTTTAAACGTCAGCCACAATGTATTTGATGAGCCCTGAACTGCAGTTACAGTTCTCATCTGACAGAGGTAATTCATCTTGCTTTGAAGGGAAAAAGCAGGAAAATGTCATGCTGACTCCCTACTGCTCTGCCAGATACAGCACTTGTCATACAGCCGAGTCACCCTGTGGATACTTAAATCTCTACATGGTTTCTGTCAATTTGTTATTCATAATTAATTACAGGGGAGTGTTTCTGAAAAGGAACAGAATTTCAGCATATGCTTATGTTAGAGTTTATGGGAAGGGAGGAGAAGGCAGTTACAGGTAGGACCGGGCCATAATTAAAAAAAAAAAAAACACAAACAAAAAGCTTGGCAATAAGCTGACATGTTGGGCAAGTAGGGACAGACTTCTTCCAAAACTTGAAAGAATGTGTACTTTTAGCATATATATACACATACGAGAGGGGCAAGGGAGGAGAGAAAAGGCAGACTTTGGCAAAGTTGAAGAAAGTGCAGTCTTTACAGTCTTGAGAAAAAAAAAAAACCACCAAACAAAAACACTGAAAAAGCAAAATGCTGAAAACTATCTTCAGTTCAAACTGTCTCATGGTGCAAGATGATGCACACAAATGTTTCCTAAGATTGCACTGGCTGTTACCACACTGCGAATTACAACACCACCTCTACTTCATTTTGCATTGTAATGCCAGAAGGTAAATAATAGTTTACATAAGCATCCAACATCATACTGTGGTAATACGGTTTTTTACCCACATGCAGAGTTCTGTGCACACATTTAAAAGTGTATTTTCTGCTTTTAAGCAGTACACCATACAGCCAACTTCCATTAAGCATATGTTTGTGGGAAAATATTAGGCAATCATCTAAATACTTAATATTTTCTTAATTTGTCTTCTAATGGTAGAAAGAACTCTTTGCTGTGTAGTGCAGGAGGGATCTGGACACTGATCAATGAACTTTTAAAAAACAAGAGTTCTTCAGCAGAAATACTCCTTTTCTGCAGCAACAGAACAGCAAGGTGTGAGAACTGGAAGTAAAAAGGCAACTTCTGGTTCAGTTTAGAGATCCCCTGCCCCTTTTAAAACTTATTTTTCTGTACTATAATCATCCCAAAACACCCCAACACCACATGCACTCAGAAAAGCCGTTCCACACATGGCTTTTTGAGGCCATAAAACTCCATGCAAACCTGGTTCTTAGCTGAGGCATTTTCCATCTTCTGAGATGAGTTAATACCAAACATTTGTGGGGAGAAAGGTGGCCTAAACCACACACTGTGTTTTATTTATATATAGTTGCAAAGGACGGATATCATTTTGGCTAACTATTCTTCCCTAGAGAAGGAAAAAAAAAATCCATTTGAGCATTGACTCCATCAGTGAAACAGTTCTATTAGTGCAAGAATAGTGCTTTCCATTTATGGCCTTCCCAAGCTTAAAGTGCAGTACATTATGTGAGATTTTAGCCTAACAAGTATCATTTATTTGAATTTCAGAAGGAATGTTTCGAGTCAAAAAGTTACCTTTTAGGCCTTAAGCAAAAAAATCCAAGACAAAGCACTATAACCTATCCTAAAAATGAACGAAATCCACAAGACATTCTTTAAATTTTATGTTCAATATACATATAATACATAAAACCCCATCGTATCACTTAACTGCATTGTATCTGTATTTAAAGTGATCTGGTAACAAGGACTTGAAGGCCACTCAGTACAAGTTTTGCTTAAAACAGGACTATATTGCCTGGACTGTGATACATAGCATGGTTCAGGATTCCCTCCTGCACAGACTTACCAGTAATGAGACAGCCCTTGGCACTGCACTGTGCACACACTGCACTTTACCAGTGGCTTCCCTCATTTTTCCTTTTTTTTTTTTCTTCTTTTTTTAAATGATCATTAATAGTAGACAAGTTAAAAACTGGATTAGTAATGTTATGCCTTTTGCTATTCCTCTTGCCTATTAAGATTACAATACTAAGAAACTTCTGTTCTATGCAACTCTGGTTCCCAAAAATACATAGCTCCTAAATGATGTACAGCAGGGAAGGGAATCTTCCAGGCTGTAGACTCTCTACATAGGAAATTCAAGCAATCAGTTGTGGACTGTGTTTGGGGACAGCTTTACAAAAACAAACAAGAAAGCCCACAACGCAGGAAGAGAGTATTTCTGTACCAGTACAGCTACTTAGAGAAGTCAAGGTGCAGTTACACAACTTCTACTTTTTTAAGCAGCCAAGCCAGCTTTAACAGGCTCCAGCTCATTCCCCATCTTCATCCCTTTACTCACAGCTCTGCCAGCTGTTTTTAGGGTTTATCTGTATACAGATAACTGTTAACATCATCACTCAAATAAGCTACAGGCTTTTGGGGGAAAGTGTCTTTGTGCCTTAGTTTTGGGGTTTTAGATCTACATTTACTTAAGCAATCTTGGTTCATAAACACCTGCAGTACTACCACTGCAAGGGTGAAAACCTGCAGTAGTGGAGATGGGAGTGAATAGGCTGAGCTGTTTGACTAGAAGGACACTATTGCTGTCAAGATATTTACTTACAGTACACAATCCATTGCTACTTTAAAGCTTCTGGTAATTTTGAGACTGGAAGTCATAGCCAAAAGTCTAGAAGTTTAACGACGAAAAGTACACACGAGGGAAAAGGTTACTTTCTAAATTAAAGCAAATGGCTTTTTATTTCTTCTAACATCCAGAAGAAATAATCAGCCAGCTGGGATAATAAAAACACAGCACACCACAGGAATTAGTATACCTAACTTTCAGCACTACAGTAAAGTTAGTCCAGCATGTCTCCCTGTCACACTGCTAACCAGCATCTCACTTCATAATCAAGGACTTTTTTATGCTGGTGTGCTTAAAAATAATAATTAGAAGCACCCCTAGCTTTTCAGATTAATGCAGTTCAAACTAAATACCACATCTGCTTTGAAGTGAAGTAAGTTAGATAGCAAAAGTGACACTTAGCCTGACAGTCACTGGCATGAGTTTCGTCCCCATTAAATCCCTACTTGTGACTTAAGAGTGAAGAGTTAGCTGAAGGCACAGGCTAACCCACCACATCAGCACCTCCCTCTTCAGGCAAGTCCACAGAGCACACCGAGCCTACTTATAACAAAACTCCCTTCACTGAAAAATGATGGACAGAAAGTTCAAACTCTGACTTTCTGCACAATGAGTTTCTCCACTGATGTGTCCATGGGAACATGTTTCACAGTTTCTTATTCAGAAGCAGCTGTACTGATTTCAACATGCTTTCTCCATTCTTTGCTAAATCCTGTAATCAGAAGTCTGTGCCAAAGTCAACAGGCCCAGAAATGATTACTTATGCTTCACTGATAACAACTGCTGTTTCAAGGAATTTTTGTTAGAAATTATTTATAGTGCCTACTGTAGCCCAATAGAGCTACAAATCCCACCCTTGAATCCAGTACCACCCCTGAAAAGGATCACTGGAGAGAGCTGTGCTGTACTGAAAACCATCACCCCAATGGCTTTCCTATTCAAAGTGTTTGCTGGGAATTCAGTTCTATAAGCAGTGGCCTCATTGGAAATGGTTGTAAACAGCAGCCAGAGTACTCAGCAAATACAAAAATCTTAAGAAAACAAAAGATCTGTGTTAAACAGTCAAATTGAGTTCTACACTCATGTTAATGGGACACTTGAGGTGTCCCCAAAAGTTTTGAGATTAAGAAGTTCTTTCCACTCAAAGGCAGATATTCTGTACTAAACAAAATTCCCTATTATTCCCAAGGCCAGTTTTACCAGCAATTACACAAATGCAATTTTTACTTTAGCTATCCACTTATCACTACAACCTGAACAGTAACCTTGTTTCTGTCTCTCAATTAAGTTCCTATTAATGTTTAAAATCATCATTACTAAAATTTTAGTACACTTTTATCTTCACTACTTCACACCAGAGACCTGCTAGTGCAAAAGCTAGCACAGGCATTACTAGTTGCATGACATAAAAACTGTTAGTCACATATAGTACATCTGAAAGCATCTTCTTACATCCAAGTGTTTGCTCTGAAGTAACAGGGTTTAAGTAATGAGGAAAAATACAGTTGTTTAAGAGTCCCATTGTAAAACCATTCAGAGAGGCAACTGGAGCAGAATAGAGATCAGGAAGTCCACCCAACTCCAGCTCTCCAGGAAGTGCAAGCTGCAATTCATTCCCTATGATGCTGCTCGCTTCTAATTCCAGAAACTGCAGTTCTTGATGACACTGCAACTTTCCCAGCCACATGTGTGCAAAATATGCAGTGTTGTCTCCTGGGCAGCATGAGCTAAAGTCTCCAGCAAAACTACAAGCTTTCTCCAGCCAGCCCATTACTGAAATGCTATTAATGCAGTGAGAAACCCCATCAAGCCTGTCTTTCCCAGAAGAAAAACAAAGACACAATGAATCTTTCCATAAAGCCGCTACATTTGAGTTTCTCCCTGCTGATTCACTCAAATTCAAAGGCATTTCTGAGCCAAGGTAAGGCGGAGGTATATTATTAAAGAGAGAACAATTCCTGATGTTAAAATAAAATAATTCTTTTTGTAAACTGCTACTATGATTTTGAGAGTTGTTCAGCACGGAATGTATGTGTGCCAAGTGAGCTGCTGCCTCGTGATGATCTTGGCCACCATCACATACTCTTTCCAGGTTTAAATAATCTTTCTTCATATTCCTATAGAAGATGAGCATAGCTTTGCTGTTTCACAGCAGGACGAGCTTGAAGAACACGATTGACTCCAAATAGTACAAGCAGCACAAGTGACAAATCAGTGGATCTCAATATGGACCTAAAGAGAAAGAATACAGGAAGTTATTACGTAAAATCCCCACCCCATTTTTTTTTTCCTCCCAAGCTCATCTTGCAAGATGCCTCATCTTTTCTCTAGATCCTAGTGTCTTAGTGCCAGGATATAGAAAACAAGAATTCTTTAATATAAAGAGTAGCCCAGCTGCAGAATGTGAAGTATTCCAAAGAGACAGCTCTCCTTACAGCCTGCTTTGAACACATACAAAGGGGCAGGAGGTATAGCCAACACAAGTTTGCTTTCTGCAGCTTCAGTGTAACCTCTTACCAAAAGGGAATTTGTAGCAAGCATCAAAGTGAGTCAGCAAATGAGAATTCATTGTGTCACAGTATGATTTCCCACTAAGTGAAATGCAGTCTGTGGCTGATCAGAGGCTTAACATTAAAGGCTAACACTAGTTATCTTCCTGTAAACAGAAGCACATGCTGGAATCAGGGACATGGTGTGAAGAGGTTCCAAAGGAACAGATCACAGCACCCGCCTGCAGAGGGAAGGGTGCAGCTTGCACTGTGTCCTAATGGGGAGCTGATGTCGTTACAAGAGAGCTATTCCATACCAGCACAGATAAGAAGCAAAGGCAAGGCATTTTTAGCCACCAAGGTTATTACTATGCTACGTGTGTAACTCCTGGCAGCGTGGCTCAGGATCAAGCTTCAGCACTGTAGGACAAATGAGTCCCAAAAATAAAAATATGAGACACTGCATTCTGACCCCCTTTTTCAGCTTACCTTTCACAAGTCACAGACTGCCACCAGACCGATCTTTCAGCACTCACCCACCAGCCAGATGTCAAAACTGGCACTGCAGCTGTATTTACGAGCAGACAGCAAGAGCCAGCCTTTGGCTGCAGCAGATGCCAGTTGGGAAAGCCCACAGCTTGCTTTTGTTACCCGTAAAAAGCAAAGCTTTCATTTCAGAGCAAAACAAACAGAACTTCTCTACAGTGCAAGAGCAAGTAATTCATGTCTTTAGGTCAGAGCCCGTTCAGGGAGTCCCACGTGGTGTGGAAAGTCTCAGCACAGGAGAGACACAACTTAAATCTGAGCTGTCATTTGCACCGAGTGACATCATTATTTAAAACTACCTCCGTGTTTCCTCTGTTCCAGTTGCTCTCGGTTTTGAGAACAGAAGCTGAAGCAGGAAATTGTTCTATCACACATCAAGATGCGTGTGCCGATGTATTTACGCGAACAATGACTGAGGAGCAAGGAACAGCTGAGGGGAGACTCAGGCGGGGTTCAGGGGAAGACGCCGCCCCGGAACCCGCACTGCCGGAGCTCGGGAGCGCCAGGGCCCCGCGCGGAGCCGGACTCGGCGATCCTTGCGGGTCCGAACCGAGCAGCCCCGCGGTGCGATGCGTCCGAGAGTCACGGCACGAACAGCGAAGCCCCGCGAAGCCCCGCGCCGGCTGCGGCTCCCCCCGCACGGCTCCCCCCGCACGGCCCCGCCGCCCACCTGCAGCCGCACGTTGAGCATCATGGAGGCGACGATGTAAAGGTACGGGAAGTTGATGCGGAGCTTCCAGGCCAGGTCGAAGAAGATGAGGAGGGTTCTGGTCAGCCCCTTGCAGAACACGCCGTACGACCTGGCCGCGGCCGACTGGGAGAGCCTGGCAGCCAGGGCGGACAGTGTCACCGCCATATACCCCCGCCGCGGCCCCGCCGCAACGCCCGGGCCCTCCGCCGCCGCCCCCTCCCCGCGCCCGGCGCTGGGTGTCGCCAGCGGGGAGGAACCCGCGGCCGCCGGCGCCCTGAGTGTGACGTCACCGCCTCTCCCCGGCGCGCATGTCCGCGGAAGGGCGGGGCACCGGGGCGGGGCGCGCTGACCGTTGGAGCGGGCGCGGCCGTTGGAGCCCGCGGGTTCCCTCTGCGCTCCCTCAGCGCTGCCGCTGTGCCTGTGGGTAACGTGCCCAGAAACAGACAGCGGGTGCCGTGTTTGAAGGTGTTGAATCTCGAGAGAAAAAATAAAAGGCCCTTTTCTCTCAGCACTGGTTTTTCACTCAACTAGCTTTGGGTAACTGTGACATGAAATGGAACAACTAAACCGTGGATGTAAATTCACGGTTAAATAATGTTTAGTGCCACAGAATCGAGAGAAATCCTGATACAAAGTTGAGTATGCTCCAGAAAATGCAGACAGTAGGCTCCTTTTTTTACTAAAATAGGCCATAGTGTTAGTCAGTCAGTCCTTAACAGCAAGCTAGCAACAGTGTTGATTTGGATCTAATTATTTAACTCCACACTATGTTTGATGAAATAAAGTTCACCTTTCCGGCAAAGAAATGCAACTTGCAAAGATAATGCAATTGAATGCCAAATAAAGGGTTCCGCCACGTCAGGGTTTGGAAATCAGCTGCTCCTTTAGACAGTGAGATCCCCAGAGCCACCCCACACATTCTGCTTTGATTTCAGCTCTGTCACGGTGCTAAAAATCCTTCCTTTTCAATTGAGACAGCACACTGATTAATGTGCAGAAGTTCAAGACTATTGACGTGCACTTCGTAGCTGAGGGCTGCAGAAGTCGTTTCCCATCAATTCAATGCCATCTTTTCATTTTGCTCCCTAACCCTGACTCACCTTTCTCATGCATCTGACAAATGCACCCTTATTGTTTAAGTCCTTTCATGTTTTATTTCATTCTGCCGAAAATTTCTCCTTAGGAATTCAAATATTAATTCCTCTGTTCAAAGAAAGAATATTGTTAATCAACGTTACTGACTTGTCATATTTTCAAAAGGTACTCTGAAGCCTTCTCAGCTTAATCTGTTATGATGAGGAATAGTTTCTCATGGGCTTTCTGTAAGGATTTCTCTGTTTTCCCTTAAGGCTCTTAAATTACCATATTTCCAAAGCAAGAGGAAAAGTTAGGTCCCAGATGTGCCTACCACAATAGACCACTATTATCTACCAGCATCCTCCTGTTTAACTGCCTTCCTTCTGGTTTTGTGGCCAGGTGTGTGCACAGAACAACCCTCATGACTTTGGTCAGCTCTCCAGGCAAATATACTGTGAGCTCAATATTTGACAGAGAGAGCTTAGAGGTATTTATGCTTAGTTTCTTTCTGCTGTATTTTTATATGCATTGCTATGTATGGAAAATCGGCATAGAACAATTGATAAAATGATTGCAAAATACTGAAATCATAACAGAAACTTGGAAAAGGGAGAAGTCTGATATTTTAGACAATAAACCATTTTGTTCTCTTCTGTTCCTATAATCTTCTGTGCTCTTTTGGACTGAAAGTTCTGTTAAAAAGAAAAAAAAGCCAGCTGGTTTCTAACAAACGTCTTCTTGTAAGTGGGTGTTTTAGGGCTGCAGGGAAAGCTGTCAGCAGCTCGGCAGGCTGTGTGCTGGTGCAGTGCCTGCCTTCCCCACTGGTGATCAGCCTTGGCACTCCACAACCCCAGGCACCCCTCTTACGGTTTATTGTCCCTGCTAACAAAAGCGCTCTGCTCATTCTTTTGGTTCACGCTGTTGCCTGGCTTTGAGCCCCCTCTCTACAAAATCTTTCAGAAAATCAGGTATACAGCAAACTGCAGATTCTAGAAACAGTCCTGTCAAGTGCCAGATGTGAGTGAGGATACTGACAATACGAACAACTCTTGCAGAAGCCATTGTGTGCTGTGCAGCACTGTGCAGAGCATGTGCTGAGGAGCACTCGTACTCCAACATATACAGTCTTAAGACACGAGACCACATTTGAAGCAGGTATTTTTCATCAGTGTAATAAATGCAAGACTAACATTAAATCAAACTAACTTGCTGCCACCAATATGCAGAAATTCCAGTCACCCAACTACTGCATCTCTTGCTGAAGCAGTTGTGGTCGATCTGTGCCACCATTAACCTGGAATGTTCCACAAAAAGGACAATTTCTAATTGTTATATTTAGGAACTGCGGAATAAATCAAGCAGCTTATTTTGGGACATCTTCCTCTTCACAGGAAGTGTTACTTAGCAGCGTACCAGCATACATTCCTTGGGAAAAAGGGAAGTTTTTCAGATAAAAATTCTTTCAAGAGAGAAGTAGGCTTCTTAACACCCCCCTGTCCTCAGGGAAACTGACCACAGAAGGCCTGCTCCTTTAAACTAGTAACACTGAATGGGTTTCAGTCATGGTTAAACCTTTATCCTCTTCCTCAGTATCTAGAAGTTGATTTATGTGAACTGCTTGATGCCAAGATAGGAGATGTTGGAGGGAATCTCCAGCTTTCACATCTGAAATGCCTCACTCACTTAATGACATGATTTGCCTTCAGATGGCAGAAAGGCTTGTTCCCTTAGTTATGCTGAGGTATCTGCAAGCAATAAAAAAAACTGAAGGAGCACAGAGAATACTCAGATCTTGTTAATTACTATATAATGGTGTCTCTATTCCAAAAAACTTAAAAAGTCCCACTGCCTTCAACAACAGTTCTCACTGTAGTAATCACTGCCTGTTACTGCTTGCTAAACATGAGGGTAGGCAGAAGTGAATGCAAAGCCTTATGTGGTTCTTGTAACTGAAATTCTTCACAGAAGAGGTATTTGTCAGAAGCTACCTGAGGAAAGTACAGGGCTTGTTTCAATTGTATGTACCAGCTACATCATCTATGCTAACATCACATTAATGTGATGTGATTTATTTTACAATGCTTCATTATTAACATATTTATATATTAGCGTTTTATTTTCACATTCCTTTAATCTCATCACTCTGTTGCAGCAAATGCTGACATTTAAAGCTGTGGTTCCTTTTTTATTGCTGGCATTGGTTCCTCTAGAGCAGACTGAGTACTAAATCTGAACAGCATACACATCACATGCTATTGCAGGGTTTTTTCAAGGCTCAGGAAACTAATCATGCCAAAAATGTCTGCTTAGAGCATCTACAAAATGGTGCATTATTATTTGCAGATTATATTCTTTTCTAACATGAATATTATGTGGTATCTCTCCAACTGCAATGATCTCTGCAATGATGGCCTTGTTATTAAAACTGTATTCAGTTAGCATGGCACAGGTACATAACTAAAGAATGTAAAGATCATGAAGCAAAAACCTTCAGAATCTTAGGCAATTGCATTAGGTGTGAATGTGAGGTGCTAACTGCTGACCCAACAGCCTGAATAAGTCCTGTGCTGATTGAAAAGTGGGAAAGCAAAGGAGTTTAGTGAGTGACAGGCAGGACACAGAGGCAGATGGAATGAGTCCAGCAGGGAATTTCAGATGCCTGGTCCTGTGAATCGAGATTTCCTTCTACCAGTATCCCTAATACTGTATCATTAATAACCTGACTTTTACCACCAACTCAAATGAGGATAAAATACTTAAGTTCAGTTTTTTTAAGACAAATCTTTTAGCTATTGTGAGATAAAAAAGCATTTGAAAACCCTATTTTTCTCCAGTCAAAGAAATCTCATTATTTTGTGTCATATGTTGCTGGGTTTGTTTGTTTGTTTTGGATTTACTTTTGCATCTGATTTTAATTTTAATACAGATATGTAAAGAGAGAGTAGTGCAGCACATGCTGAAAGCCTTACTCCACCCTCTTATACTTTGTGATTCACCTTTGCTTCGTGTAAAATTGGCTCCTGCATTTCTTCAGTCTGACATCTAATTTCAAGTGTCTGTGAGCTACAATTACAGCTTTGTGCCCCTCCAAGAGCTGTGACACTCTCTAGAAGGGCACAACTTCACTTTTGACGCAGATATTTTAACATGCTATTTCCTGAAGGCAATCGAGCAGACCTGCTGTCAGCAGGAAGTGCCATCCAGGAGTAGGAGAATGCATCTATGAATCACTCTTAGGTGTTCTGTTTTTTTCCCTATCATGTTTCCTTGTATGTACAGTGTGTACTGGTACTTCCCTACTTCTCTGCTTATTTATTTGTGGCTTTATTAATAAACTATTATGATAAAGAGCACAGCAGTGGTTTGAAAGATGCTATAAAAGTGCAAAATATTATTGTCTCTGTAATGCTGTCATGATGAATAAAAGTTTCCAGTATTGCATCAGTGTGATTACCCTGCCACTCCCCATCCACAAAGGATAATAATCTTCCTTCGGTGCCAGCACACGCACAATGCACACATTCAGACAGGCTCCCAAACAATTTAAATGATGATTTCCTCTCAATGTCTAAGAAAAACACTTGAAACAATTGCAATGGGTGATGGATGATAAGGTGAACAATATTAGGACTGACCTAAGCCTCAAAATTATGGTTCATGACCTTATCCTTATCAGAATTATGGAAAGGTTTATAATTGGTTATAGCTACTGCCATTCATTCTTTGCTTTTTGCATGCTTGACTGTGGATTGCATCTGTAACTATTCTATATGCCATCCAGCAGAGCAATCATACTTACTAAGCTGATCATTTTTGCATTAAGATGTTTGTTAGTAACCTCTTACTCGCCTGCTCTGTCTTCCATCCTGTTCTCTAATTTCACATTTCTTCTACTTTGTCAAACTGTTTCTGTGCCCACTTCTCCTTACAGTCTCTGGGGAAACAAATAACATATCTGCAAAGTGTTAAACATTATGCACCACATAAGTGAGCTTTTTTCTTTTTAAAATACCAATATGCTGGTGAAACAAAAATGATGTAAGAATTAACTGAAGCCTAGATGAAAATGTATTAAAGTCTAGTAATAGAATAATAGTGCATTGTGTGCTGTAAGGAACATGCACACAAGTAGCAGTTTGTCCTCCAGGGCATGTACAGAACTCTTACCTGGAGAGAGGTTAGGATTTTAAATTCAAAATATCAACAATTCTGGAGTGAATAAATATGTACAGATGTGGGAAAAACAGCGTATGACTCTGTTCCTCTCATCATTATCCAAACTGTGATGCTGTTTGTAATAACTAACAGTAAATACTCATCTAGATATTTTCTAATATCAGCATTTACAATCCAATTAGAATTGTCAGTTAGAACATACTCAAAGCATACTGTGTTTTAAAGTAAGTCATTCTTGGCAGCGCTTAAACTAACATCTCAAAAGAATCAGAGGAGCACTGAGAAGGAAATGCATTAAAATATATAGCTTGTTTCATGACAGGATCGTTAATGCCCTTTGTGCTAATGTCAGTGTTTCCACCATGATTGCTTTATCCTTGTCTTTCTATGCTATTTTGTAATTGTGTAAATTTCATTGTGATTTTTTTTCATGAAACAAATTCCAATCATCCATGTGGGTAAAAAGGAAATGGCAGAGGAACTGGGAGGTGGGGAAATCAGAAGTACTTTTACATGTCACTTGAATCTTTCCATGCTCTGATCTCCTCAGGATCCTGACATAAATCAGACAGTGTTCAGATCTGCTCTATTTCTGTGCGGTATCTGAAAGGCCCCAGACGTGGCTGTAGCAGCCAAGAGCAGCAGGAGCACTGTGCCACTGCCCACACCTCTCCTCTGAGCTCTGAGCTGGGTAGGGAAAGGTTGCCAAGTCATTGGCAGAGCAGTCTGAGCTTTAAGGATATTCAGCTTGAATGACGAATCGCTTCAGCCTCCATCTGTATGGGGGAACGTGGACATACAGGTTTTATAAAAATAGCCTTTCATTTTTCAGTGATAGTTACCGTATTTTCCCCACTGACATGAAATCTCTGAGAATTACCTTTGCACTCCAAAGGAAAATGGAAGAGAGTAAATATCATGGGATGCTCTGTCCACTGATGAGGTTTTGTTTTATGGGATCCAAATAATTTAGACATGTTCTGAAATCAACAGGAGATAAATCTCTGGAAACCCCCTGGGATGGCACCTCTGTTGATTTCAGTGAATTGATGGTCACTCGGCACAAGAAGTTTGTGCTCGGGCCTCTTCCTCATGCTTCCTTTGATGGATGGCAACACAAGGAGAATGGTGGATGTGTGCCTCAGCCCATCCAGCAGCCTCTGCCAAGGAGAAGAACAGCAACTGTGGAAAGGAAAAAACTCCTGGGATCACTGGGCCTGATCTGCTTGACTTTTACTTCAACAGTTGCAGGAAATAAACGGTTTCCTTAGGGCAAAGAAGAAACCCAGGGCTCTGTGCAGCCTGGCAGTTTCAACATGAGTGGTCCAGACTGCCCTGCCTGGGGAAGCTGGCTGTGTACTGAAG